TTAGTAGAGACGGGGTTTCACCGTGTTGACCAGGATGGTCTCGATCTCTTGACCTCGTTGATCCACCCGCCTCGGCCTCCCAAAGTGCTGGGATTACAGGCGTGAGCCACCGCGCCCGGCAGGACTTTTTGTTATTTAAAAAAAAAAAAATCAATATGCCATTATCACATCCACCAAAATTAAGAGTAAGAACGTTTTAAAATGGTCATTTAAAAAGCGTTATTAACAGTTGCCAACATAGTAGAAATAGAAATAAGACTAAATTTTTAAAAAGTAATTTTTTCCCATATGGAATTATGAATTGTTTTCACGTATGCAAAAGTATGTATCGACTGGGCATGGGGGCTGACACCTGTAATCCCAGCACTTTGGGAGGCTGAGGCAGGTGGATCACGAGGTCAGCAGACCAGTCTGACCCACATAGTAAAACCCTGTCTCTACTAAAAATATAAAAATTAGCTGGACGTGGTGGTGTTCCCCTGTAATCCCAGCTACTCAGGAGGCTGAAGCAGGAGAATTGCTTGAACCTGCGAGGCAGAGATTGCAGTGAGCCAAGATCGCTCCACTGCACTTCAGTCTGGGCTGGAGTGAGACTCCTTCTCAAAAAAAAAAAAAAAAATTGTATCTACTTGGAGACATTTAACTTTAAAAGATGGCAAATTAGGCTGGGCATGGTGGCTCATGTTTGTAATCCCAGCATCTTTTTGGGATCTGAGTTAGGTGGATTGCTTGAACCCTGAAATTTGAGTTCAGCCTGGGCAAGATGGTGAAACCCCATCTCTACAAAAAAATAGAAAAATTAGCCAGGCATGGAGGGGTATGGCTGTAGTCCCAGCTACTTGGGATGCTAAGATTGGAGGATGGCTTGAGCCTGGGAGGCTGAGGTTACAGTGAGCTGAGATTGTACCACTCCACACTAGCCTAGGTGACAGAGCCAGACCCTGTCTCAAAAATAAATAATTAAATAAAGGCAAATTATTATTTTTAAAAATATTGCTATTCAGTTTATCTAAGCAGTACTTTTTTTTTTTTTTTTTCGAATCCTGGCGTTCATAATTTTCTTTCATCTAAGCAGTACTTTTGATGAATTTCTTTACTTTTTAACATTTTATTTTGAAATAATTACAGACACAATTATAGAATTATAATTAAGAAATTGCAAAAATAGTATAGCATGATCCTGAGCTTCCCTGGCATAAAGTATTCTGTAGAATATACATTTCATGGCCAGGCACAATGGTAATCTCAACATTTTGGGATCCTGAGGCTGGTGGATCACTTGAGGTCATGAGTTTGAGACCAGCCTGGACAACATGGCGAAAAACCCCACCTTTGCAAAAAATACAAAAATTAGCCAGGCATGTTGGCATGTGCCTGTAGTCCCAGCTGCTTGGAAGGCTGGTGCAGGAGGATTGCTTGAGCCCAGGAGGTTGAGGCTGCAGTGAGCTGTGATGGCCTGACTGCACTGCAGCCTGGGTGACAGAACAAGACCTTGTCTCAAATAAAAATAAAGAAGAATATGTTTTATTATTAAAGTTGGTAAATGTTTGGAGGGATTTAATGTGTATGTTTGGCCTATAGAAATACATATATATATATGTGTATTTTAACTTGGCATTTGTGATTTTTTTCTTTTATTTTCTTTTTCAGACAAGATCTTACTCTGTTCCCTAGGCTAGAGTGCAGTGGGGAGATCTTGGCTCACGACTTACTGCAACCTCCACCTCCCAGGCTTAAAAGGATCCTCCCACCTCAGCCTCCTGAGTAGCTGGGACTACTGGCATGTGCCACCATGCCTGGCTAAATTTTTTTGAACTTTTTTGTAGAGACAGGGTTCACTATGTTGCTCAGGCTAGTCTTGAACTCCTGGGCTCAAGCAGTTCGCCTGCCTCAGCTTCCCAAAGTTCTGGGATTACAGGCGTGAGCCACTGTGCCCAGGCCGTATATGAATATTTTTAATGTTATCACATAAACAGTATAATTGTGAAGCTCAAGCTGAGATTTTATTTCCCAGATAAAGCAACATCATTTTATATATAGAAACTCTAAAATAAATAACATTATCTCACTGTGGAACATAATTTATTTAAAAATTAAATTCAAGAATACTATTTCCGCTGATGTTTTACTATGAAAAGTTTGAAGCAAACAGAAAAGTTGCAGGAATTGTACTTGTGTACTTACCATCTAGGTTCTACACTTAGCATTTTACTATATTTATGTTAGCACGTCTTTCCATTTCTCCATTTTTACTTTCGATGATTTTCGCAATATGTTGTAGACATCAGTACACTTAAACATGCTTATCATTAGCTTGAATTCTGTAGAACTTTACCATCACCTTAGAAAGTTTCTGGAAGCCTCTTCTTAGCCATTCTTCACCTTCACCCATAGAGGCAACCAGTCCTGCCTTTTTTCACCCTAGATTAGTTTTGCCTGTTCTAGAACTAGGAATGTTCATTTAATGAATTATACAACTCACAGTGCTTAAGCTTGCATATATCAAATTCCTTAGTTCTTTTCAGAGCCAAATTAGGTATTTTAAATATGAGCATCCAAGTTAGTACTAGTAAGGTTTGTTTTTTTTTAAGATGAAGTCTTGCTCTGTTGCGCAGGTTGGAGTGCAATGGTATGATCTCGGCTCACTGCAGCCTCCACCTCCCAGGTTCAAGTGATTCTTCTGCCTCAGCCTCCCAAGTTGCTAGGATTACAGGTGTGCGCCACCACACACAGCTTATTTTTGTACTTTTAATAGAGACAGGGTTTCACCATGTTGGTCAAGCTAGTCTCAAACTTCTGACCTCAAGTGGTCTGCCTGCCTTGGCCTCTCAAAGTGCTGGAATTACAGGCATGAGCCACCATGCCCGGCCTAGAATGGCACTTTTATTAGGAAATATTAATGCTGTACTTTTTACTTTTTGTTATCTGTAGGACCACCCATAACACAATCAAGCTTGATAAACAGCCGTGACCAGCCTGGGACAAGTGCAGTGCCCAATCTTGCATCAGTGGGAACAAGACTACCTCCTCCTTTACCCCAGAACCTCCTTTACACAGTATCAGAACGTAAGTGCATGTTGTTTGACTTAAAATTGACAGGGTATAGAAAAGCCAAGTTGTCTCATATCAGTATTACCCTTTAAAAAATTGTAAATAGTTTTTGTTCTTACGGATTCTAAAAGTTGTATTCGCAATACAGTTTATTGTGTGTTTATGCTATATAGCCATATTTTAATTTCATGTGATATGGGAGAGAAAGGCAAGGCTTTCTGTTTTGGAGAATTTTACTTTGCCATAGAGTAGCAACATTTAGTCTCTACTTTTTATTTTTTTGAGATGGAGTCTCACTCTGTCACCCAGGCTGGAGGGCAGTGGCACAGTCTTGGCTCATTGCAGCCTCCACCTTCCAGTTTCAAGTGATTCTCCTGCCTCAGTGATTCTCCTGATTCTCCTAAGTAACTGTGACTAGAGGCATTTGCCACCATGCCCAACTAATTTTTGTATTTTTAGTAGAGATGGGGTTTCACTGTGTTGGCCAGGCTGGTCTTGAACTCCTGACTCAGGTGATCTGCCTGCCTCGGCCTACCAAAGTGCTGGGATTACAGGTGTGAACCACCATGACCAGCCTAATATCAAGTCTCTTCTAAAGGAAATTTATTTTGAAGCTTTTAAAAAGAATTGTTTATCTGATTGATTTTCTAAAACAAGACTTATATCTTAAGAAGTATATAAAAGATTGGGCTAAATATGCCTAATAATTAACTTGCATACGGAAATGAAGATAGCATCATTTAAATTGTAATGTTCTGTGTTTAGGCTGTTTGTAACATTCATGTTTGATTGTAATAATACATTTTTCTTGAACCCTAAAATTCTCTTTTATTTCTTAGGTGTTATTGTTGACTAAAGCTTTAAAAAATTCCTTTCTTCAAAAACGTTTTTTAAAAAGGTAGTTGTATTAAAAATGTTAAATTAGAAGATTTTTTTTTTTTTTCCCCAAGGACAGGTAACTTAATGGATATGTTCATCTTTTATGTAACTATATTCATCATAAATTTGGTTTTGCATCCTAAACATTTCTGCATCTCTTTTATGTCTTGGAGAGGCAATTCAGCAGACTGGTTAAGCCCGGTTTCAAATCCTAGTTTTATTTTTGTTTTGTTTTGTTTTTCCCTTAAATGACTCATGTTTCTTTCTAATGAATTGATCACTACATTTCCGAAGTTATAAAATGGCCAACAGACCATAGAAAGATAATTCTTTAGGCTCCTGCATGAAACCAACAGCTTCAGCAAACTGCTCGCCATGATTCAGGGCCAATTTTTTATTCTTAAATTTTTTTTATTTTCAAATCCTGGTTTTATCATTTACTGTCTTTGTGACCTTGAGCAAGTTGCTTAGCCTCTCTGTAGCTCAATTTCCTCTTTAAAATGGGAATAATATTACCTCATTAAGGTTGTTTTGAGGAATAAATTAATACATCTAAAGCAACTAAAAAAGTACCTACCCACTAGTAAGCTATAAGGATTCTTTATTATATTATTGAAGCTATTATTGTCTCCTGAGAATTTCAAACTCTCTGAAATCGAACCTATTAACTTCCACCATCCCTGTTTTTCTCAATGGAATAACACCCACCTAATTATCTAGAATGGAAACTTTCACAGGACTGACTTACTGCTTTGCTTTTTTACATCTAGTTAATGAAAAATTATTTCTTTCTTTGAAGTATCCCTTTCTATTTCTTATATGGCCTCTGCCTTCATCCACACTAGATGACCTCACATTTGGATTATTACTGTAGTCTACTTGACACCATTATGTTTTATTTTTAACTTCCCTAAGTCATACCACATAATGCTACTAAGCTAATATTCCTGAGAAAACCAACCGTGAAAGTTCCTTATAAGAACTTTCCAGTGGCTACCATTTCTTTCTGAACCATCGACAAACCCCTCTCTAGGGCTTCTAACTCTTTTTTTTTTTGAGACAAAGTCTTGCTCTGTCACCCAGGCTGAAGTGCAGTGGTATAATCTCAGCCCCCTGCAACCTCTGCCTCATGGGTTCAAGCAATTCTTGTGCCTCAGCCTCCCAAGTAGCTGGGATTACAGATATGTGTCAATATGCCCAGCTAATTTTTTTGTATTTTTAGTAGAGAGGGTTTTGTCATGTTGGCTAGGTCTCAAACTCCTGGCCTCAAGTGCTCTGGCTTCCTTGGCCTTGCAAAGTCCTGGGATTACAGATGTGAGCCACTGCACCTAGACTTTTTTTTTTTTTTTTGAGGCGGTCTCACTCTGTTGCCCGGGCTGGAGTGCAATGGTGCCGTCTTCGCTCACTGCAGCCTCAACCTTCCGGGTTAAGTCATCCTTCCACTTCAGCCTCCCAAATAGCTGGGACCACAGGCATGTGC